TTGGAACTAATTATGTTTCATGCTGTGTCACCTGCACTGGTGGGTTTCACCAAGTGCTTTACATCTGTGATCTGCATCACTTTGGGCTTTCCCCCAATATCATGCCGAGATGTTATGATATACATGGAATACTGTTAAATGGGTGTTAGACCCAGCTCATTCACTCACTTGATAACTCACTCACTCACTCACTCACCCACTTACCCAATAATCACTCTCACTCACCCAACCACCCAATAATCACTCTCACTCGATCACTCACTCACTCACTCGATCACCCACCCAATAATCACTCTCACTCACTCACTCGATCACCCACCTAATAATCACTCACTCACTCACTCACTCGATCACTCACCCACTCACTCACCCACCACCCACAAACCCACTCACTCACTCACAAACAACACTGTTCTTGAGTCCAAGCGAAATCTTTTTTTCCCTCATATATAATAATGAGAAGAACTAAAAATAATGTTTTTAAACTTCACAATTCTGCTTCCCTTTCGCCTTTCCAATTATTAACTACACAGCAAGGCATTGCAATGGTTGATTCACTATCTGCAAGCAGATTGTCCCAAATCTCCTCAACCTGAAAATGTCCTGTGGTATCATTATCAGTAAGTTATAATCTGAACATGTGGGATGTTATTAACTAAACCCCCAAGACCAAAATACGTTATACTGGACCCAGTCTTTGAGCAGTGCCTCGTGGACACTGATTGGTGAAACTACAAGGGATGATATCATGTTATTTGTAGGGAGGAGAGTAAAATATGTGTTTCTAATCCAAGCCACTGAAAAAAATAATCGAAGTTGGTCCTTTATAAATTATAAGTGGTAGTTTGCTGTATATAAAAAAAAGCCATTTTCAAATGAAGGTAAAGACTATCATACCAGAAAAGCATGATAAATTTAAGCCAGTGGCATAAAAAATGATTTTTGACTGGTTGAATAAAAACGCATTTAGAAGTGGGGAATGTCCTAGGGAAAGGTTTTAATCACCCAAGTTGCTGATTCAGAACTTGAGTACAGTAAAACCCCAATTTACTATGAATTTGGAAATAACTTAATTCTGATTATCAGTCAGAGGTTTCAAACCACAGTAACTACCTTGAATTGATATAGCTAACGACAACATCACTGCTGAAGCTAATGTTAAAGGAAAAAACTTCTTTCTAAATCACTCAGCCTTGAAATAATGGTGTGTTCGGTTATTGGTTCAAAGTTTTGGTAATGAGGATATTCAAATTATGTAGGGCAATAGGGGTTCAAAAAAGAGTGGAAATTAACTGAGAGAGTGCATTTAAAATGTTGGGTACAACAGTGAGCTTGAAATTTGGTTCCTGTTTGTATCCGACTGTAATGTCATGTCCTTTGTGTCACAATGTGTTGTCAGAATAATGACTTGCCAGGGTTCGAAATACCCCATATATTAGCGTGCCATTGCACGGTAAATATTGAAATGGCACGGATAAAAAATGTTTTCGGTGCCCTTATGACACTCCTAATTTTTTAGATAAACAAATCACATTCAGTCAATTAATCCCCAAAACATTTATTTTCTTCCAAATTGAATAATGTCATACATATTTGAATGCTCATAAACCCATTTCTTTATTTAACAATAAATTTCAAATGATCATCGTCATTGTCATTATTCTAAAAACATATGGGCATACTCGATTTCTGAAAGGCACACCTAAAATATTTGTCTGGTGTCCTAAGGCACACTTAGAAAAAAAAGTATTTCTATCCCTGCTTGCAGTGTAGTACTGAACCTTTCATTTCCTTAAAGGGTGTTATAGGAGATTAAGGCTATGATGAGGCCATGATATGATACATATCACCATGATATTGGTATAATATGATTATATCCCAATACAATATTTCCTATCTACCGTTTGGGTAAATCACAATCCAGGTTTTTATACCTGATACAGCAACAATGGGAAATTGTAGGGGAGAAACGTGTCAGCTTGGGGGATTCTGTTATTTATAGCCAACCAGGAAACGCAACACGCACAGCAATGTAAAATATTGGGTTATGACAAGACTTTCTTACTTTAAAGCGTTGGCTCGTCACGCTGAAGACCCAGTTTCGATTACCCACATGGGTACAATGTGTGAAGCCATGTCTGGTGTCCCCCGCTGTGATATTGCTGGAATATTGCTAAAAGCGGCATAAAACCATACTGACTCACTCACTATTAACATTTCAGATTCTAATGATGAGAGAACTCAAATACATGTTTTTTAATTTCACAATTCTGATTCCCTTTATTTATTTATTTTTGTAGATCTACCTTGTATTAAGATTTAATCTGTTACTGTTTTAAACACACATACGAAATTATTAACAACAAACCATCGCATACATTAAAATACTATATTAGATGCAACATTAGATGCAACTTCATCGATTGTTCAAGTCCAGGGTCCTGTTCCCCGAAACAATCTCAGCTCTGAGACAACCGTCGCGCAAAGCCTTTCTACAGACTTTTTTTTTTTTTTTATAATTGATAATTTTTATTTCCTGCTTCCCCTGTTACAGGAAAGGCCATAGAGCCTCTGATTCCCTTGATAACCTACACAGCAAAGCATTGCAATGGTTGATTCATTTACTTATGAACAACCATTTTCACTGTTAGGTATATGTCAATTCTGTGGCAGATAACTTCTGTGAATGATAAAAAACATTATTTTAAACTCAGCTGATGTGGAGAGAATGATTATCATGTTTGAAGTTTGTGTTATATATAATTACATAGATCCTCAGTAACACTAGTTTTGTTGCTATGGTAATAACAGAATCGTAATTAGTGACCTAATTTTAGAAGCATACGTGAAATATTCCCGAGGATTTCAACTTGCCTTGGTTTCACTGTATGTAAAGAACCAACTTATTTATTGCATTTAAACATTTTATGTTCTGATGACAAAGAATTTATTAAATATTTTCACAATTTAGGTAACCCTCTCCCAAAACCTCACCATGATCACCTTTATGTGGTATATGAACAGTGTTGTAGCCATGTGGTTGGTTTGCTCGCCACAAATAGTTTGTCATTTGAATTCCGTGTGATGAAAAGTACGTAGACCATTTGGGACCTTCTCATTATGTTTGTGGAAGAGTTATTTCTAAAGAGGCACAATATCTACTCACGTCATATGCTCATAGAGGAGAGTTTCAATAACACAGTTCCCCCCCGAGGAGGATTGATTCCCGTCTTTTCTGAAGAGTTAAAGTTTAAAGACATTCCAGTTAGGCAGACATGATAATATCCACTTTAAGACGTTGCATGCATAGTAAATATGGAATCATGGCTGGGTCAGCTGTTCCTTCCCAGCCTGTTCAGGCGCTGCTATGGCCCAAAATAGGTGTTAAATCAGAACTGATGTGATAATGAAAATTTCTAGTCACATTGGTGGGCATGAGGTATTGATTTTTGATGCTGTTTTCATTGTAGTCCTTTTGTTCATAACGCAACAGAAGGTGTGTGTTAGCTCTGTAGAGAATGATAATGGAGTATTGGGTAATACCTCACCTCACCTCACCTCCCTCACTCACCCACCCAATCACCCACCCACTCACTCACTCACCCACCCACCCACTCCACTCACTCACTCACTCACTCACCCAATCACCCACCCACTCACTCACACACTCACTCACCCAATCACCCACCCACTCACTCACTCACTCACCCAATCACCCATCCACTCACTCACTCACTCCTTCACTCACTCTCTCACTGCACTCACACCTTCCATAAAGCAAATGTTGAATGCCCAACTTTTCATGACAAAAAGGAATATGGAGTAGAAACAGAATCTTGTTCTTAACCAGTTTCAGGAAGTCAGGAACTGTCATTTGTTTGACAAAATCCAGCACGAATGTGACCACACCCTGATAGAACTGTAGCACAACACTTCACACAATATGTACCTTGATATGATATGGGAAAACAAAACATGGCACGTAGATGAGTACTGTGCTGACATCCCTGATGGTGTAGATCATGGTCTGGGTGTAGGCTGGGTGTAGGCTGGGTGTGTGGGTGTAGGCTGGGTGTGTGGGTGTAGGCTGGGTGTGTGGGTGTAGGCTGGGTTGGGGGGTTGTGCAGCTTAATAAACTTTAGTTTGTTGTTTTACGCTGCACTCAGCAATATTCCAGCTATGTGACGGCAGTCTGTAAATAATCGAGTCTGGACCAGACAATCCTGTGATCAACAGCATGAGCATTGTTTAATAAACTAATTACTGGAGACAGTGTTATTTATATAAAGTTTCACATGGATAACATAAACATTCAGATCACAGACAACATTGGTTACAAGGTTACTCCACTGATCAAGGCTGATGCGACAATCATCAATGATAACATCAAATGATCCAACCAGATAAACCAGTGACTGACTGCATGAGCATAGATCCAAGTCATTAGGATACAGTGGGGTAGCCTGGTGGCTAAAGCGTTCACTCGTCACGCCACAGACCTGGGTTCGATTCCCCACATGGGTAGAATGTGTGAAGCCTATTTCTGGTGTCCCCTGCTGGAATATTGCTAAAAGCGGCGTAAAACCATACTTACTCATTAGGATACAATCATCGAGAATAAATCAATACCTGATGCCAGCTGAGGGTGATGAGGATCTATACTTCCCCGTAATTCCAATGGAAGCGTGCTCAGCCCTGTCCAGACATGATAGAAGTTATATATCGGACCGAGCATAGAAACATGTACTTTTAGCGACTCTTTAAACATATAAAACCTGAAAATCTCCATTTAGGAACCATTTGACTTCATGATGGCTAGTCACTTTAATGTCCCCTCAGACAAAAGCACATATAACACACATCAACATGAAGTGCAGAATTAATTTTGAGTCACATGTGGGATAGAATATCTTTCAATATCCTCTCTGTATAATATTCTCTATTCTCCCTGTCACAAGTAGGTAGTACTTAAGAGTAAGAGCGTCTGCTTCTTTTTCCAGCACCTGGATCCAGTGTGTCACCAGCTGTTCGAGTTTTACCGCTCCAAGCAGTCAGACTTGCGCATCTTTGCCCTGGAATATGTCCCCACTCTCATCTGGCTCTATCTCAGTTGCCTGAGCCACAACGACAAGAAGGTAGGGATCTTGCTCCGACTGTTCCGCCATTATTGCGTTATTCACTCTCTGTTCTGTTGAGAAATACCCTCTACCAACTAACTTTAACCTCATTTCAGAGTGATGTCTGCAGATCCGCTTTGTTTTTTGCCAACTTCGAACATAATTTCTTATGACCTTGACCTTGTAACCAACAATGAAGGTCGCTACTTTAAACTGATCTTCTTTAGAAGCTACATCCTCTTCTGTGTGAGACCTGATATATATCAAATCCAAATGACCATTGAAAATGAGCCCCAGGTGAAAAGATTCTTCCTGAGGAGAAAGACAAGGGAGCAAAGCCCTTATGCTACAAGACATTTCGTATTGCAATGACTGGCCCAACTTGAGTCGAACTGCATTATGAAAGAACAGCAGTTTGGACTTTATTTTTCAACACCATGTCAATCAACTGGACTCAAAACAAACTAGACAGATGTTGACAAGTCATTGAAACACAGTGATTTGCTGTGCAGGGAAACATTGTAGGTTCGAATCCTAGTTTCCCCTGATTATGATTCTATGTTTGTCAAACCTTACCCATGCTTGTGCAGGGTTTTACATGACGCGTGATTCCTGCGTATTTGACGCAACAATTTTGTAAACGACTCTCAAAATATTATCATATGAGTCAAGCTTGACGCAAGTTTTATGGGTGGCCCTCACAATTCAGTTCAATAAAATCGATTTGATAAGCAAAAAATGATATTGTTCAATGATAGTTTGACTTTTACAGAGCTGTCAGATTGTTCCAGAGTACTCAGAGCAGACAGTAATCCTGGCTGTTTGAATTGAACAATGCTGTAGTTTCATTTGGTGGTGTGACATACACAGTTACATACTGAGAATGATTAACATAAAGAAATATTAAAATTTTCATGACTCCCAAATATTGAAAATGACTCCCAAAAATAAATATTGTGAGTCACCATGACTCCCATTTTTAAAAGTCTGTGTAAAATCCTGCTTGTGGGTTTCACCAAATGGGTGAATGTGTAAGAATGCCATCAGTGCAGGTTCCCTTTCTGCATCAAGCTGACCTTGATACTACTGAGTGCTGTGAAGGTCAGCGATAAAACGAACTCACATGCTCACAACCAACTTACGTTGGCAAAGAAGACTAGGCCTACAAAACAGCAGAGATGTTTCTCTTGTACATAACATTGACTTAAAACGATTGTAGCTTTGTTGACCTTTAGTTGACCTGGGAGCTGTTGTACAAACACAACCTCAGCAATAACACTGTTGAAAGTCTCTTTTACGGTATTGAAGCTATGATCACCTTAGTCAGCGTTTAAAATTCTCGCCTCCCCGACCGTCCGGAACGGTCTGTTTTCATCTGGACGGTTAAATTTCAAAAGTAGCCTGTCCGGTGGTCTGGTAGATGTTCTCTTGTTGTCAGTTTGAGGTGATTAAGGTATTATGATAATTATCTTAAACTATTTACGATTGGACAGTTCATTTTACAATAACCAATCACAACACATGTACTTTCAGTTTGCCTAAACTCGATACATTGCCTGTTAGTGCTATGTTGTTCATTGCGATGCCTACAAACAGTAAAGTATTCAGAAACCTGATTTTTAAAACAAATTCATTGTTGAAAACCGGACAGGCAAGTTTGTATCCGGACTGGTCATTTTTTAAAGTTACCAGTCCGGCTGTCTGGCTTGGAATTTTGGGAGTTTTAAACACTGCCTTAGTGCTTAGATCGCTTTGAACATTGGTACCCTGACCTAATATTTGGAAAAAGGGCACAATGATGTGGATAAATGGAACTAACACTCGTATCTGTCACATATACCTTTTGATTCATCCACATGACAAGATGATATCATTTACATGATTGAGCCATCAATACTCTGTCTTGTTAGACAAAAATGAAATGGCACACCCATGCATATGATTGTTTCTTGATAACATGATACCATTTAGAAAGTGGTCAAATGTAACATATGTTATATTTGGGATTACACTTTCTTAGTAAAGTACAGATTCTAGTACTTTTGTTTGGTTGAGTCCCATCTAGGATTCGAACCCACACCCCCAGAGAGAGGCACCTAATTGCCAGCACACAAAATGAGCCGCCTAACGATCTCTTTCTAAATGGCATTGTGTAATCATAGCTTTCGGACGTGGGAGCTGTGCCAATTTACACTTATCAGAGGGGTACACAATGTTTGCAGTCTAGACTACAAGTTGTCCGACTTCCATTTTTGTGGAAGTGGAGGTGGACTCTGAGGGTGTGGGTTCGAATCCCGGATAAGACTCAACCCAACAAAAGTACTGGAATCTGTACTTTACTAAGAAAGTGTAATCCCAAATATAACACATGTTACATGATCTTTTCTTGTTCATAAAATATAGAGGATCATTTCTGATATTGTTAAGCATGTTTCTAGGTGAAAAATTATATTATGTCTTATATTAACCATCATGCATGGAGACATTGGAACACGATATACTGTATAATGGTTGTCTTTCAATGTGATTTCCTGGTTGCTGCCCAGAAAATATTGATAACAGAACTAGTTTGTTAGATGAAAGGAAAGTAGTATCTCAACATGGCCGCACCCTGTCGACGATCTATAAACAGTATTGGCATCTGTTGATGAAGCTGCAATATCCCCTCGAGACATGACCAATGCATTTGTCCCTGTCCCTGTCGATACTGGGAAATTACTAATATCACGATATCAAGTTGGGAAGTGTTTCAACCTGGATAAACAAATTAAAAGTAGGACAGTATTGGAAAATAAGTTTTGAAATATGGATTTGAAGACATTTATCACAGTGTCACCAGTGGGTGTAATGTTCAGTTTTGATACCTGACCTGATACAATGTTTCTCTGGAGAACTTAAGTTGAAGAAAAAATGATTTGATGTTTTGAAGATGAATACGAGATGATTCCAGAGGCAGAATGGAGTGGGTTGGAAGGCAGTCTAATTTGTTTAGTTTCTTTCTTGTTTAACGCCGGACTCAGCAATATTCCAGCTGTATGGTGGTGGTGAGGAAATAATTGAGTCTGGACCAGACAATCCAGTGGTTGACATCATGAGCATTGATGTATGTAATTGGAATACCATGACATGTGTCAACCTATTCAGCGAGCCTTACAACCCGATCCCATTAGTTGCCTCTTACAACAAGCATGGGTTGCTTTGGACCAATTTTAACGTGAGTCTTCTTGGTCGAAGGCAGTCTAAAGTGACGCTATGCCCTGTGTATAGTTGTCTTTGTCTTGCTAGCCAGACTTATTGTTTTGGTTCTTCAGTTGTTTCTTGGTTGGACAATGCCATACCATGGGTTTCATGAATGTTGTAATTGCTGAAAAACAGGATCATTTCATATCTCTCCTCCCATATCAACCTGACATACTGTGACATGATTGAAATCCTGTTAAAAGTGACATTGAACCCCACCCACCCACCCACCCACTCACCTCACCTCACTCACTCACCTCACCTCACCTCACCTCACCTCACCTCACCTCACCTCACCTCACCTCACCTCACCTCACTCACTCACTCATTGACTTACTCACTCATTGACTCACTCACTCATTGACCCACTCACTCACTCATTGACTCACTCACTCACTTACTCATTGTCTCACTCACTCACTCTGTAGTACATGTGCCCAACACACCAGTTATTATATAATTCATTTGGACAATTAAGATTTCGAAGAATATACATCCATGACACTGTCATAGATATACTTATTTTCTCTCTGGATTGTCTGGTCCACCATATAGCTAAATATTGCTGAATGTAGCCAACAAACAAAAACACTATTTTCTCCAGACATGCTGACAAGCAGAATTTAGCAGTCAAAAAGATAAGCCTCTAGAAATAGCTACATTGAGTTTGAAATAAAACTTGCTTTTAATCACTATAATGTTTTGTTGTAACTAACAAGTAGAGTCACCAAGTCTCATGCAGACCAAAAAAAAGACGTTAATCAGATGGCGAGCCCACAGAATCATTATTTATACCTAAAAATATTTAAGCATTGTTTTAAGGCTGACCTGATTATTACTGGAAGAAATGCATGATTATTGACAGTTGACCAGTATGCTAACAACAGATAAGGCCAGTGTAAGTATATAATTTAATGTTTGAATTTCTTCCAAACTTTGACACGCTGTGGTAGCATTTCGAAGCATCTGTGTACTTTAACCGTGGGTGGATGTGGTTGGTATGAATGTTTAAGGGTATATTACATCAAGTGAGGAGGTGAGATGGCACACAGGACAGTGTTCTTTATCTGTAGGTTCTTATCAGGATTCCAGGTTCGATTCAGACCCAAGAAACCTATGCTTTTGAGTGAGTGCAGCTTTCCCTACTTTTCAAAATTATTCCAGCAACATCACACAGGGCACTCCAGAAATGACACTTTGTACCCATGTTGGGAATCGAACACATGTCTATGGCGTTGTGTGCAAGTGCTTTAACCATTGGGCTACCCCACTGCCCTTTTCTTTGTCAGTTGAAAGATGTGATTTGGTGGATTGGGTGGTCAGGCTTGATGACATTATTGTATGTCATTTTGACCATGCTCTAATTTGTAGCTCATGATATCAGTCATTGGATCTTCTGGTCCAGACCAGTTTATTTACAGTGAGTGAGTGACTTGGGTTTTGTGCCGCTTTTAGCAATATTCCAGCAATATCATGGTGGGGACACCAGAAATGGGCTTCACACATTGTGTCCATGTGGGGAATCGAACCCAGGTCTTCGGTGTGACAAGCGAACACCTTAACCGCTAGGCTACCCCACAGCCCCAGTTTCTTTACAGGCATCATATAGCCTGAATTTTGAATTTAATGTTGAACAATAAACTTGCCAACAATCATCTGTGTTTTTAAACATCAATGTGTATTTGGTAGTGCAGCGAGTATTGATGAAATTCTAATAATTAATTTATCATGAATGGGTTGGAAGCAATTTTCAATACTGAATTAGAGTATTAGGCTTG